GAAGGAAGGAAGGAAGGAAGGAAGGAAGGAAGGAAGGAAGGAAGGAAGGAAAGAAGGAAGAAAGAGAGGGAGGAAGGAAGGGAAGAAGGAAGGAAATCCTCCAATATGTTAGATAGCTACTTTATGGACAATTTTACAGAAGATTAAGTATAAGAATTTTAAGCAATGAGCAGATGAAGAGGGGTCTTGATCTGTGGTGACATCTGAGGGGCATGCCCACACTGATGAAATCATAGGTCTATCAAAATATTAAGAATGAGATAGGATATAGCAGGAAGAGCCCTGTTCTTGGAATCAAACCATCCTAGTCTCTTTACTAGCTGACACATTAGAGCTGTGTGACCATAATCAGGTCATAGAATCTTGATTTAGAGCTAGAAGGAAACCTTAGAAATCAGCTAGCCTAACCTCCTCATTTTATAGAGAGAGAAACTGAGGCTGATAGTGATTATATTACTTGTGCAACATCATGCACATGATAAGGAATAGAGCCCAACTTTGGACTCCTGTCCTCTGCTTTCAGCTGCTGTGCCCTTTCAACTACAACAACCTCAGTTTCTTCAATTGCAAAACAGGGGTAATAATCCTTGTGCTACCTACCTCACAAGGTTATTGTGAGGGAGGTACTTTCTAAACCTTGAAGTACCATAAAGATGAGAGATATTATTGTTATTATTATTATTAATTATAAAATGGTCATGAGAGATACATGACCATGGAAGCACTTGCCCAAGATGTGTGATCATAAATAAGGTGTCACCAAACATCCATATTCTATAGCTGCAAACACTTTCCCAACTTAAAAGGTAAACTTTCATCTCTAAGCTTTTGTTTCATTTTTCCTTTGGAGGCAATCAGTGACTTGCCCAGGGTCATACAGCTAGTAAGTATCTGAGGCTGGATTTGAACTTCAGGTTCTCCTGACTCCAGGACGAGTGCTCTATCCACTGTACCACCTAGATGTCCTTGTTTCATCTTTTAAGATTTTGTTGATGCCTTATTCTTCACACCACAGTCATTTCCTGACAACCAGTACTGATCATTTTGCCCAGAGTGTGACTCAAAGCCCAGTGTAGCACAGACATCTATCCAAAAGTCCACCCAGATTTTCTTGTGACATTTTCAGGTTTGCAAGAGTCACAGGCATCTGGCAGCCAGAAGGAATAGAAATCAAAGAGATAATGCCAGGGCTGATTATTAATTGATGACTAATAATTAATAGTCATTAATATTTGGGATAGGAACTAGACCTACGATTCCAATAATATAAAGAACTCCCCTGGATGGGAAAATGGCCTCTATAAATACAAGTTGGCACCATATCTGCAATTTATAAGCTTAGAGAGTTGCCTAGAGCAGTGTCAAACACTCCAAACCAGATTAAAATGTAATTGGGAAATGTTTAACAAAATAAAATAAAAATGCAGCAAAGCACAGATAATGTTAATTTGTGGTTTTTCTAAGTCATCATACTGCCTGCAGGGACCTGATTTTATTTGAATTTGAAGACCCTGGCCTAGAGCACTTATGCTATTTATCCAATCATCAGACAGCCTGTATGTTTCAGAGGCATGGCTTGAACCCAAACTTATTGGCTTCTAGGTTGATTCTCTGTCCACCAGAAGTCTTATTTGGCCATGGTCCTTTTGATATATTTTAGGTCTGGCCCAGTTTATTTCAGGTTCTAGGCCTATGGCTGTTCCCACACTTTTAGCCGATTAGATCTGATGAAAGCAGAGTGACTAGGGGCAGAGTCATGCTTGGAGTTCTGAAAGTCTGGGAAGTCAGGGAAAAGGTCAAGGACAATGAGGAGGGGGTAACTGAAGAGGGAAGAGGAGGAGAAGGAAGATAAGAAGGAAGAACAAACATCACAAATAAAATAGAATATAATCAACAAATAAAATTTGTAAGCAAGTAAATCTCCCACTCCTTTCCCTCACCAAGACAAAGCAATCAGCTCCATTGGCCATGCTTTTGCACACTAAACCACAACCTTTCTCTGCCCTCTTCCTGCACTGCTGTCCTTGGTGTCAATTTTAACCAGATTTTACCTGCATGAAAATGTTGGCGGTGAAGTAGAACCCTGCCTCCTATGTCATTTGCAAAACGATTTGCTCAGAGATCTGTACCCTGATGGACAGCATAGTACAGTAACAACAACAAAAAAAGACTGGATTTGGAGTCAGAGGACTCTAATTGAAATACCAGCTGTTACTTAAAAATAATAATTAGAAGAATAGCTGATATTTACATAACATTTTAAGGTTTACAAAGTGATTTTTTTTCTCATTCAATGATCCACTTATGACCTGTTTGACTTTGGGCAAGACACTTAACTCTTCTGCGCCTCAATTTTCTCATCTACAAAGTGAGGGGATTGGATATGTATGTATTGGAAAAGTATGAACTTCTGGTAGTTAAATAGTATTAATGGCATTGAGCAGCCTGGAAGGGGAGGCATGTCTCTTTTCTCTGTGCATCTATCCCCCTTTAGAGTCCATTGCACACTGACCTGATGTTGGTATATTTATTTTTATTCTCTCTCTCTCTAGGAAATCAAAGCCATAAAAGAGGCATACCAAAGGCGTAAGTGACATTTTCTTTCAGTCCCACCTAGTTTGGAGAAGGCATGGTCCTTCACAGTCTGCTTGGGAGAGTAAATCTGGTCCCTCTTTTTCTTTTCTAATAGTATTTAACAAGAGCCTTGAATCTGATGTCAAAGGTGACACAAGCGGAAACTTTGAAAAGATTCTCATGTCCCTGCTACAGGTAAGAGAACAGAGACTTTGCTCTCTTGTTTTATATTGGGGCTACTTCAGGCAGCTAGGTGGCCTAGTGGATAGAGCACTAGGTCTGGAGTCAGAAAGAGCTGAGTTCAAATCCGGCCTCAGACTCTTAATGGCTGTGTGAAGTCAACCTCTGTTTGCCTTAATCCACTGGAGAGGGTAATGGGCAAACCACGTCAGTATCTTTGCCAGGAATAGACATAGACTCATAGATAATATTAACATGCTATGGTCCATGTGGTCGCAAAGAGTCAGACACAGCTGAACAACAACAATTATCTCTAGGCACCAAGGTTCTATGGTGAAAATTGCAAGACAAGCAGAGAGTTTGGGGGATGACAAATTTTTAAAAAGATTCAGCTGGTTAATTCCTTGGGCAAAACTAGTGTTTTTTAAGACTGGGGTTTCAAATATTGAGTATATCAATATACACGACAATTTAATAGGTAAGTCTCAAGCCTAAGGCTTAGAAAGGTTAAATGATTTGCCCATGATCATAAGATTATTAAATGTCAGAGGTGGAAATGATGGGCCAATCACACAGTGAGAGGGAGGGATAACAAATGGACATCTGACATGGCCCGTTGCTGTCCACACAATGTCAAGAGACTACACATATGTCCCCCAGCATGTTAGGTGGGCTCCCTTTGGTAAATTTATGGAAGGATGTGGGGGGAGAATTGGACAGGATGCGCAGGCATGGATGGGTTTATATACTGCATCTTTGGAGAGAGTAGTCACATTGAGGAGATGACAGATCTATTGGACTATTGAGATTTAGAGAAAATAATTGGTGACCCCAGAATTTACCATCTCTAATTCCAGATAAAAACCTCCACTTGGTGGCTTCCTTGAAGCACTTCAGGGAAAACATTCTGGGGAATGGAGTTATAAGAGGCATTCAGCACTGGCAAGGCTAAATAGCCAAGCAGGGTAGAGGGCAGCAAAAAGGTGGGGGGGGGGGGAAACAAAGCCAGGAGCAACTCAGAGAAGGTGCCAGGAGGTGACAAAATTGAGGGCATAAGAAAGTTATATGACATTGAACTTTCTTAACCAGGATTTAACAAAGGGAAGGAACCAGATTCACCTATTGACTGGTCCCATAAAAACTGAAGCAAAAAACCTCTGACAACAAAAGCCAGTCATTCAATGTCCAGCACAGGGCATTCAGAATGTGCACTACGGGAACACACAGTCCTCTTCACTGAACCTCCAACCAAATAGACAATCCACTGATTCACATCACATCCGATACACCATGTCTTTGCAAGCTTTATGTGTCCCCATTGTTTTATGATTGAACCCCATTCCCGTCCCACCCAAGTCCTGATCCTTCTGTGGTGACAGACTGGCAGAAGAGAACAAGAAAGAAAAGACACAAGCTGATGCAAGGAGAGTTCAGGTCAGTCCTTTCAGAAGGCCTTCCTTCCTCTCTGTGCTCTCTAACTGGAGACATTTTAAAGAGAGGTTGACATTCTTCAGGAAAAACAATTTCTGGCAAGAGATTGGACAAATTAGTCTCCTCAGGTCCCTTCCAGCCCTGGAATCAATGCCAAGTTAAGAAACTAGTCCTGAGTTCACACACGCACACACCCACCCACACACACACTTTCACACACAAATTCTACTTATTGGTTCAACTGACATCGCTGTTATCACAGTGCCCAATAGATGGCAGCAAAGAGCAATAGTTGTGGGTTTTCCCACAGGATTGTAAACTTCAAAGTTAGAAGGGGCCTTGGGTCAAACCTTCCCACCAGATCATAGAGAAACCCCCAGTCTCCTTACTTTTCCTCTGATTTCCCAGGGTCACCTAGCAACTGTAATTGACAATGTTGCTCTTCCTGTAGGCTGACCGAGATGAAGGAGACAATGTTGATAAAGATCTAGCTGGTCAAGATGCAAAAGATCTCTATGAGGTAAGTGTAAGGACTTTTTTTTTTCTTTTTTGCTTTACCACTTAACATTATTCTCACTGTATGGGAGAGGTGGTTTTAATTACTCAGGAAGTAATTACACTATCTGAGAAATGAAAATGTGCTCTTATCTTTAGATTAAAATATGCTCATTTATATATAGGCCTTTTATTCTAATACAATAAATACAATACATGATATAATAAATGATAATTATCCTCCATTTATATTCACCTCTGTTAGAAGCTTAAAGTGCATAAATGAGACATCTCTAGTCTGTTCATATAATTTCTTTTAAGTGATATTTGGTATTTAAAAAAACAGCACTTTCAGGCTTCTTAAAGAGGATTTTTAATAAAATGTCAATCTTTGAACTTTTAAGGCAGGGGAAGGTCGTTGGGGAACAGATGAACTGGCTTTCAATGAGGTCCTGGCAAAGAGGAACTACAAGCAATTGAGGGCCACCTTCCAAGCCTATCAAGTTGTAAGTAACTTGGTACAATAACAATGACTTTAACACTAATCATGATTGAGAATAAGACAAAACCAGAGATCTAGGAACTGGGGAGTTTTGCTTCCTTAACATTTTACAATACCATCCTTGGGGGCCTTGGGGCATAGGCTAACATAATTGTGAAGGAGTAGAAGAACCTCTGAATCTGGAGTTGAGACCTGGGTTTGAGTCCTAGCATTTACCAGGTGTATGACCCTGGCCAAGTCACTTCACATCACTGAGGCTCAGATTCCTCATCTATAAAATGAGGATAATGATGCTCTTCTTGCCTACCCTACAGGGTTGTTGTGAAGGAGGCATTGTAAAACATATGGAAAAGTGAGCTCAACTTAAAATGGAATAGAATGGCACAAAGAAGAGGTGTACCCCACCCAGTACTCCAGAGAAGTATCCCTGAAAGGTTGTGATTTAATGAAATTGTCATAAATCTAGCATTTTATATGCATAAGGGGACCTACCTAGCTTAAGGTACTCCACGGTGCATCCATTTTAAAGGGCTGGCTTTGGAGGTGAGAAGACTTGAGTTTAAATCCTGCTTCAGACACTTACCAGCTGTGTGACCATAGGCAAATTCCTAGCTTCTCTGTGCCCTCAGGGAACTCTCAAAGACTATAAATTACAGCTGAGTCACTTATCTTCATTAGCAGAATGTTCTTACGTTGAAAGTAGCCTCTACTTAAGTTAGAATCTAAGAACTTTATAACTGGGCAAAATCCTAGAAGTGATCTACTCCATCAGACTCATTTCACAAATAGGGAAACTGAGACTCAGTGGAATTTAGTAGGGTTACAACAACTATGAGTTAAGCTAGGTTTGGAATCAGAAAATTTAAAGCTGGAAGGAACCTTTAAAAGGATTTAGTCCAACTATTTCATTTTCCAAATGAAAAAAAAAACTGAGGTGTAGAAGGGAAAGTCACTTTCCGAAGATGATCCTAGCAGATCCTCCAGGCAGAGTTAGAATTAGGTCCCTGGTCTCCAGACTCCTGGCACACTGATTGCTCTTTCCACACCCGTATCTCCACTTTTGCCCATCTGGATTTTCATGTATTATGTCATAGGATACTAGAAGCACAAACTGAGAGCTAGAAGAAACCTTGGAGATCATTCAGTCCAAGCCTCTCATTTTGTTGATGAGGAGCTACAGCCCACAAAGGGGAAATGACTTGACCAAGGTCAAACAAGGAGCAAGCCACAGAGCTGGAATATGAACCCAGGCTCTCTGACTCTAAATCCAGGGTTCTTTCCATCCCACGACGGATTTGTTTTCACATCGTGCTTGTAACTTTTTAAAGTCCCTTCGCTTCTCTTATCTTCTTTTATCCTTTTAACAGCTCTGGGAGGTGGATGGGAAAGGTATGATAGTCCTCATTTGATAGATTAGGAAACTTCTTGAAATTGAGGCCATCTGTAACTTATCAGGACCACACAGCAAGTAAGCGCCAGAAAGTGGACGAAAACTTCGAGATTCTCCAGCCTGAGCTCTCTCCTGGGCTCTTACTAGTCCTTTCATAATAACAGGCAATCTGGATGGGAAAGAAGGAAGGAAGGAAGGGAGGGAGGGAGGGAGGAAGGAAAGAAGGAGGGAAGGAAAGAGGGAAGGAAGGAAGGAAGGAGGGAAGGAAGGAAGGAAAGAAGGAGGGAAGGGAGGAAAGAGGGAAGGAAGGAGGGAAGGAAGGAAGGAAGGAAGGAAGGAAAGAAGGAGGGAAGGAAGGAAGGGAGGGAGGAAGGAAGGGAGGAAGGAAGGCAGGAAGGCAGGGAGGAAGGAAGGAAGGAAGGGGGGAAGGAAGGAAGGGGGGAAGGAAGGAAGGTGGGAAGGAAGGAATGAAAGAAGGAAGGGAGGGAAGAAGGAGGGAAGGAAGGAAGGAAGGAAGGAAAGAAGGAAGGAAAGGAAGGAAGGAAAGAAGAAAGGAAGGGAGGGAGGGAGGAAAGAAGGAAGAAAGGAAGGGAGGGAGGAAAGAAGGGAGGAAGGAAGGGAGGAAAGAAGGAAGGAAGGAAGGGAGGGAAGGGAGGAAGGAAGGAAAGGAGGGAAGGAAGGAAAGGAGGGAAGGAAGGAAGGAAAGAGAAATTCAGATAGTTTTGGAAAAGGACACAGGAAAAAAGCAATTTTTGTTTATTGTTTGTTAATTCATTTGTTCTACTATGTTTAAATGCTAAGGGTTTTAGATAAGCTTTTACTCCTTATTTGGTTTGTTTATTTGATTATTTGCTTTGTTCATGATTATTAAATTTATGACAAAGAAAATTTTAAGTCATACTTTGGCCACTACAATTAAAACATTACAGTGATGTATGCTGATTTCCTTTATGAATCAGCTTTACAATATCACATATTCTTAGACCAAAAAATCCTTCGACTAGGTTGTGTTTTCATATTTATTATTTTTTTAAAGTATCAGTGTAGTTGCCCCTTACTCTGTAAACCTTGCAATGACCTTTGGCCCTAAATGTTATAATCCTGACCTGACATCTTGCTTTTGTCACTTCCTGTATATATCCTGCTGTATAAATCATACCAATGTAGGGCAGTGTAGTAGAAAAAGGGCTGGGTTTGGGGTCAGAAGACATGGGTACAAAATGCCACCCTCAGTAGCTTCATATCAATGGGCAAGTCATTTAATGTCTCTGAGCCTTGGTTTCCTCATCTGTAAAAAATGAAGGTGGCATTAATGTCTGAACCTTCGTGATTTTTCTGTAGCATTTGACACTGCTGACCAGTCCGTCCTCCTGTAAATTCTCTATGGCTTTTCCTGACACTGCCCACCCCCTAGTTCTATTATTTTGGCTCCTCCTTCGGTCTACTTTGCTGGGTTATCTCCCATATCCCATCCCATATAACTGCAGACATCACCCAAGGCTCTATTCTGAGTCCTACTCCCTTCTCTGTCTACACTTTCTCTTAGCTATCTCATTGGCTCCCATAGGTTCCACTATCAATTCTCCAGAGATGATTCCTAGGTCAATATTTCCAGCATATTAGCAACCACTTTGTTGCTGCCCCATATCACCAACTGCCTAGTGATCATTTCAAAGTGATGTCCCATGCTCTTTTCAAACTTACCATGGCCAACAGAAAACTCGTTTTCTCCCCCCAAGCCCACCCCTTCTTCTAATGGCCCTGTTTCTGTCAAGGGCGCCACCTCCCTCCAGTCACCCAAGTTCACAACCACAGTATCATCCTTGACTCTCTTCAATCCTCCTCCTTCCTTATATTCATTCAACCAAATCTGATCAATTCCACCTCCACAACCTCTCTTTACCTCCTTCTCTCTGCCTACTCAGTCACCACCAGTTCAGCCTCTCCTCACCTGTAGTCTAAACTATTGTAATGGCTTCCTGATCTGTTTCCCATCCTCAATTTCATCCCCACTCCAAGACATCCTTCACCTCCTGCAGAAGGGATATTTAAAAAGAATACAGGTCGGGGCAGCCAGGTGGTACAGTGGATAGAGCTCCAGCCTTAGAGTCAGGAGGAGCTGAGTTCAAATCTGACCTCGGGCACTTAACACTTACTAGCTGTGTGACCCTGGGCAAGTCACTTAACCCCAATTGCCTCGCAAGGAAAAAAAAATACAGGTCTTTAGGAAAGTCACTCCCCCAATTCTGTAGTTCCCTATTGCCCCTAGAAACAATGCAACTCTTCTTTTTGGCATTTACAGTCTTTCACAAGCTGATTCCAGTCTATCTCTTCAGGCTTATTACATATTACTCACTAGCCAAACTGACCTCCTTGCCATTTCTCACATATGACACGCCATCTTCAATCACAACCAATAAAGCATTTATTAAAGGTCTGCTATGTGCCAGGCACTGTGCTAGGCACTGTGGATATAAAGACAAAAGAAAGACAACCCTTGCCCACAAGGAGCTTACATTCTAAAAGGCGACATAACATGTACGTATATAGATATATACAAAACACGAAGCAGATACAAAGGAACCTTGGAAGGGAAGGCTTTAGCAGCTCTAAGGACTAGGAAAGACCTCATGCAGAAGAAGCACTTGAGCTGAGTCATAAAGAAAACCAAGGACTTGGAGAGGCAGAGGTGAGGAGAGGGAGGGGCCCTACCAGCCAAGAGAAAGGCATGGAGATGAAAGATGGAGCTTGTCTCTTCTCTGTCTTTGCACACGCTGGCCCCTATACCTAGGATGCTCTCTCTCCTTACTCCCTCTCTTAGATCTCTTAAAAACTTCCTTCATGGGGCAGCTAGGTGGCGCAGTGGACAGAGCACTGGCCCTGAAGTCAGAAGGATCTGAGTTCAAATGTGATCTCAGACCAAACACTTGACACTTACTAGCTGTGTGACCCTGGGCAAGTCACTTAACCCCAATTGCCTTTAAAAAAAATAATAAAAAAAAAACTTCCTTCAAAGCTCACTTCAAGTGCTGTTCTACCTGAGGCCTTTCTCGGTCCCTCCAGCTGCCATGCTTCTTCCTTAAAGTTGTTGTTGTTGTTCAGTTGTATCTGACTGTTTGTGACCCATTTTGGGGTTTTCTTGGCAAAGATACTAGAGTGGTTTACCATTTCCTTCTCCAATTCATTTTTTGATAAGGAAACTGAGGCAGATAGGGTTAAGTGATTTGTCAAGGGTCACACAGCTAGTAGGTGTTTGAGGCCAGATTCAAACTCAGGTCTTCCTGACTCCAGGCTGTATATGTTTGAATTTACTTATCTGTGTGTGTGTTGTTTCCATTGATAAAATGTAAGCTCACTGAAGGCAGAACAGTTTCATTTTTGTCTTTGTATCCCCAGCACAATGCTTGGCATTTGTGTTTTTAATAAATGATTGTTGTTGATAGACAATAGACAAACAGACAGATAGATGAGAGAATGATGGATAGATGGAGAGAGTGAGAGAGAGAAAGAGAGAGAGAGAGAGGGAGAGAGAGAGAAATGGACTCATTCACAGAATGGTTGGGAGAAAAGTCTTTTATAAACCTCAAAGAGCTACAGAACTATGAATTTGTATTCTCACTGCTTTTAAATCATATATTCTGGGGTGCATAAGTCAACCTTGAGAGGCAGAATGGTGTCATGGAGAGCAGCCTGCCTTGGAGTTAGGAAAAAATTACAGGTCTGGGTCAAAAAAGAAAAATGAGCCTCATGGTTAAAATATTTCCCCCCAGCTGGGGTCAGTAATTTAATTTAAGGGATTTTTACAGAGTGGTTTTCTGCATGGGTGGGAAACCCCAATTAGCCAGGTTTAAAAAGAAAATAAAAGCCTACTAGCATTCTATGTTTTGGCAAAGAGCATCCATTATTCAAATAGCAGAAAAGAGACAGAGTATGAAATGTATCAAACTAGTTGCCGAGACACAGGCACCTAGGAAGTCAGTTTGGGCACTTGGACCAGGAATGTTGGGCCCACCTCATAGCCCTCCTGAGTTGGAGAAGGGCTGGGGGAACTCTTGACGAGGATCTTTAGTGGATTTGCAGGGGGGCTCTGGGGAGAGAGTATCTCCCATAATCACCTTCTAACCAGGTCTCCAATACCACACAACTGGGGTCACTTGGGGAGAGAGAGGAAAGGGAGTAAGTATTTATATAGCTCCTACTGGTACCTAGGTACCTAGGTACTAGGCACCATGCTAAGTGTTTTTCACAAATAGTATCTCATTCAATTTTCACAACAACCCTAGGAGGTAGATGCTATTATTAGCCCCATTTTTACAGTTGAGGAAACCAAGGCAAATAGAAGGTAAATGACTTACCCAGGGTCACCCAGCTAGTAAGTGTCTGAGACTAGACTTGAATTTCCTGACTCCCAGCCCAGTGCTCTACCCGTTGTGCTGACATTCTTAATTATGACTAACAACTTAATTACATAGTCTCAGGACCTCACATCACTTCATTTTTTTTTAGAAGTAGGGGTTCTGAACTTGGCATTTCATTGATGTGGAGAACTCCCAGTGTGAAAACTCCCTCCACAAATATGCAACTCCATCTGCAATTTAGAGGCTTAGAGGCTCACCTGGGGCAAGGAGATAAGGTGCTTTGCTCATGGTCACAGAACAAGTATGTGTCAGAGACACAACTTGAACCCAGTTCTTGGGATCATAGATTTAAAGCGGGAAGGTAGCTTAGAGAGAATTGGTGGCTCAGTGGAAGGACACTGGGCCTGGAATCAGGAAGATCTGAATTCAAATCCAGCCTCAGACACTTACTAGTTATATGAGCCTGGGCAAGTCACTTGAAGTCTGCCTCAGTTTCCTCCAACTGTAAAATTGGAATAATAATAGGACTTACCTTAGTATAGTGCCTGACATATAGTGGGCACTATGTAAATGCTTATTGCCTTCCACTCCCTTAAAGGTCATCAAGTCCCACAATCTCATTTTACAGATGAGGGAATTAAGGAAGTAACAAGTTAAGTGATTTGCCCAAGGTTACACAGCTAGTAAGTCTCCAAGTTTGACTTAGAACTTAGGTCTTCCTGCTCGAAGGCCAGACTTCCATGCACCATGCACTGTGCCCCTCTCCCCTCATGTCATGATTGTTTCCTGTAGGGTATTTTATATTTGTGTATGAATGTTCAAAACATACTACATAAAGTCCACTGGTGTTTATCCTAAGACCCTAATTATTTATAGAGCCTGGTACAGTTCTTCATCAAATTCAGCGTTATATACTTTCTTCCTAAGGAATGGCTTTCAATATTTCTGATTTCCAAATATGTTCCCCCAAATGCAGAACAAAACTTGCCTTTCCCTTTATTTGCCTGCCCTGAGGTTGGCCCAGGCAGTATTTGTGTTAAGCTAATCACAATTTACACTAGACTTCAGAGTCTATAAATATTTGAATAGAGGCCTAATGTGTAATGTGGTGCTGCAGGGAGATACACTGGCCAATGATGACTGTAGAATGGTTTGGACGTTCACCAGACTTGAGAAAGAGAGGCAGCCTTGGCTCTGTGGATGAAAGGCTGCCCCTGAAATGAACAAGATCTGGTTTCAAATTTTGCTTCAGAGGCATGATGGCTGTGTGACTCTGAGCAAGTAATGTAACTTCTCTGTGCCCCTAGAATTCTCCAAGACCCCACATTGTGGGTGTTCATCAGTGAAGGCCATTTCTACATTGAAATTCCACCCACAAAGGAAATACCAAATCTGAATGGGGAAAAACAATGAGAAAAGGGGTCATGTTAACTGTGATCTCTTTTCTCAGTGATCTGTCTTAACCTCACCCCACCCTCAACCCATTCCTGGAGAAGAAAGATTATTTTGTAGACCTTAGAGTACTAAAGTTTACTTCAGCTTGCTGGCTACTGGTCCACATTTATAGAGCTCTTTAAGGTTTGCAAAATGCTTGATCTACCCTATCTCCTGTGAGCCTCACCCACCCTAGGAGATGGATACTTGGAGAACTTCTCTTGAGTTCTGCTCATTTTGCAATTGAGGAAACTGAGACAAGATTAAGTGCAAGAGCATATTAGTAAAGTTTTTAACCATTGTCAGAAAAAATGCATGCAAGATATACTTTTAGGTTTAACTCATGTTCTTTATACTTTAAGTCTAAACCATCAGCAAATAATCAAATACCGGATATTTAAAGATAATGATCCTGCTCTTACTGAATCTTCTTTTGTTCTTACATCACAGTTACTCCCCTTATTCTCCTAGAATGGAACCCCTCTCTTGTAACAAAAAAAAAAAGCAGTCCAGCAAAATCAACCAATAGATGACTGAGTCTGACAATGCATACAACATTCTGTCATTAGAGTCCCCCACCTCTCTGATGATAAATATTTCATTATCTCTTCTCCAGGATCATTGCTTTTCTGCCATTTGCTCAGACATCAGCTACCTTTTAGGGATCTTTTAATTTACATTGTTGTAGTTATTTTGTATGTTATTCTTTTGGTTCTGCTGATTTTACTCTGCATCAGTTCATACAAACCTTCTGAAGTTTCTCTGAATTCTTCATATCTGTCATTTCTTACTGCACACACTATGGTTTCTTTAGCCATTCCTCCAGTTCCTTGATCCCAAAAAAGGTACTGCTATAAATATGTTGGTACATATTGCAGCTTTTTCTGTTTTTAAATTCCTTTGGGTACATACCCAATAGTGAGATAGCTGAGATATCAGGTCTTTGTCACTTTGCTTAAATAATTCCAAATCATTATCCAGAGTGTTTAGAGCAATTTACAGCTCTGCCAACAACGAATTAATGCATCTGTATTTACATAGCCCTTCCAAAATTGACTATTTCCATGTTGTGTCATCTTTGCCAATTTGCAAAGTACAAGTCCTCCAATGGATTCATGCTTTGGTCCCTCTTCACCACCCTGGTCAGCCTCCAGACATGTTTCATTTAGTGTAACATCATGCTTTCTGAAATGTCATACCCTGGCATGTACATAATAGTACACATGTGTTCTGACCATAACAGAATAGAATAGAATTGTCACTTCCCTTGATTCAGATACTATATCTCTATTTAAGTGACCTAAAATTACATTCCTTTTTTAAGCTAAATCCTTCTATTAATAGCCTCTCTTGACATTAAAACTTAGATGACTTCCCAGAACCCCTGTTCTATGTTTCCCCCATTCCTCTATTTGTGCATCTCAATTGTTGAACCAAAGCTCAGATCTGGATAGTTGTCTTGATAAAAATCCAGTCTTTGTGCCTTCTAGATGAAGAAACTGAGGCACAGGGAACTAAAGTGGCTTCCTCAGGGCAAAATCTGTTAGGACTCATATTTTGAACTAAACCCTCAGCAATAAGAGACTTGGCAAGGACCAGCGTGGCCAGGGTCAAGCTAAACTGCTGGGCCTCAATCTGCCAGGGCTCAGTGACTGCTGCTAGGCAGGAGGTTAGCACCCTCTTTGCAAAAACAAAACTTCTAATAACAACAGCATTTTGATTTTTATCTTTAGTTAATCGGCAAGGATATTGAAGAGGCCATTGAAGGAGAAACATCTGGAGACTTGAAGAAGGCCTATTTAACTCTAGGTAATATCAGGTTGGGAGGATCTCCTCACTAACATAATCATTACTTAACAGCACATGTCTGAAACCTACAAATATAATTTAATCTTAATGGATTTATTAGTGAGACCAAAGGTGATAAATAGAATCCAAGCAATAAGCTACAGATGAGGCAAGGGTGCCTTCCTCTATTTTATTTGAATCTCTTTGAAAAAAAGAAATCTACTGTGAGAGGGGGGAGGGGAGCCCTGATTTTAAAACTTGCCAGGAAAACACCAGAGTACTCATTCGCCAGTCTTTGCCCATAGGCAGGAAATAGCAGAGATGGCACAGGAGGAGCATGCTTTGGCAGAAGCCCTTCTTTTTGCAAGACCTAGAGTGAAGGCATTGTCCATTGTCCACCATCCAACAGTAAAGAGTCCAGGGCACCATACCAAAGGGAACTAAAAAGAGTATTCCCAGAAGAAGGAGGATAATATGAAAAAAATTAAAAAACAACCCTGGAAGTTAAAAAATGTTCTCAAATTGCCAAACATTTCTTTTTTTCCCCCAAAATATTGGCAGTAATTGATTGTTTCATCCACATTAGTTTTGCATTCAGATTTGTGGAACCTCTGCCATGATCTATGTGGGCATGAATGTCCCTAGTGTTATTCATGACTCATACTGAATAAACACATAAGACCTCGAACAAAGACTGTGCTTTGGGCTTAAAGAAGGATTCTTCAAACAGGATCTGGGGTTCTTCATGACCTAACAAACCCTTCCCCCCTCACCAAAGGCCTTCACTTCTTCCCTAAACGTTTGACATCGTTGTCCCAGATTTCTACATGAGAAAAGTGAGGAATTGGGCTCCCAAATAGTCTCAAAATTCATAATAATAACTAATACTTGGATAATACTTTAAGGTCGACAAAGCACTTTATATGAAGCTGCTAAGAAGCCCAGAACTGGATCTGGAGTCAGAAAGACCTGAGTTCAAATCCAGCCTCAGATACTTACTAGCTGTGTGACCCTGGTCAAGTCATTTAAGCTCAATCTGTCTCAGTTTCCTCATCTGTAAAATGGGGGATAATAATAGTACCTAACTCCCAGGGCGGTTGTGAGGATCAAATGAGATAATATTTGTGAATATCTGCAAATCTTAAAGTTCAATATAAATGTTAGTGATGATGATGATGATGATGATGATGGTTATCTTCACAAAACTCTGTGTGGTAGGTGACTATGGATATTATCACTGCCACTTTAAAGATAAGGAAATTGAGACTCCTAGAATTAAGTGACTTTCCCTTAATCACAAGCTAGTAACAGACTGAACAGCTAGGTGGCACAGAGGATAGAGTGCTGGGCTTGGAGTCAAAAAGATTCATCTTCCTGAGTTCAAATCCAACCTCAGACACTTACTAGCTATGTGACCCTAAGCCAAGAAAACCCTCAATGGGGTCACAAAGAGTCAGAATCAACTGAATAACAGTAACTATCCAAAGGAGGCCTTGAACCCAGAGCTCCTCTAACTTCAAGTCCAACCTTTGCTTCACTTAAGGCATGCTTCTTCCAAATTAAAATACAGTTTTTTAAAAATTCCCCAAAAGGGACAATACAAATCTTTGTAGCTATAGGTAACTATATTTAATCATGGAGTCTTCTATTAGAAGGTTATAGAAAACTCCTGGACACATCATTGATGAATTCTGAATTCTTCATTCATTCCTAGTAGATATTTGATTGGGGAAGGATGCTTATTACTGTGTGGTTTTCTAAAGACTTATTTTACTTTACTCACATATTTGAATTTAATAGTCACTGTGCTGTGAATATGGGTTAAACATCACATCAAACTAGGGGTGGTTAAGGGTGGGGTAAAAATGCTCAGTCATAAAGGATAGGTTGAAAAATTTAAGTGGTTTTGGTCATTTGCAGTGACAGAGTCAGGATCCCAAAAAGTCTTAACAGACTAGAAGGTTGGGTTGGAATTTAGTACAGATAAATGTAAAAATCTGCATTTGGGATCAAATCATCAATTTCACAAATACAAGATGTAGGAGGCATGATTGGATAACAGTTCCTGTGAAGAAGACTGGAAGATTTTAGTGAACTGAAAGGCTGATGTGAGGCATTGCAATATGGCAGCCAGACTAGGTAGGCAGTGGTCCTGTGGTACCCTGTCCGGGTCAGACCATATAGCAGGCATTGAGTTCAGTACTTAGTCATTTTGGGATGTCACTGTAGGACTATTAATAAGATGGAGAAGAGTATACAGAGAAGGAAAAGCAGGATAGTAAAAGAACTTGAGACTTATACCACCGCAGGATCCGATGAAGGAACTGAGGATGTTAAAACTGGAGAAAACACATGGGTAATGTAATGATGTGTTGTTGTTGTTGAGATGTTCCAGTTATGTCCTACTCTTCATGACCCCATTTGGGGTTTTCTTGGCAAAAATACTAGAGTGGTTTGCCATTTCCTTCTCCAGCTCATTTTACGGATGAGAAAACTGAAGCAAATAGGGTTAAGTGACTTGTCCAGGGTCACACAGCTAGTAAGTATCTGAGGCTGGATTTGTTTTTTGTTTTTTTGTTTTTTGTTTTTTGTTTTTTTTTGGTGAGGCAGTTGGGGTTAAGTGACTTGCCCAGAGTCACACAGTTAGTAACTGTTATGTGTCTAAGGCCGCATTTGAACTCAGATCTTCCTTATTCCAAGGCCGGTACTCTATCCACTGCGTCACCTAGCTGCCCCTTGAGGCAGGATTTGAACTCATAAAATTGAGTCTTCCTGATTCTCTTCACCCATTTGTAAGACTAGCATGTGGAAGAAATATGCTGTCCTGCTTGACCCGAAGACGAGAAATGGGACCAATGGATAAAAGTTGCAGAGGGACAGATTTCATTTCAAAGAAAGAAAAAACTTCTAAACAGTAAAAGTTATCCAAAAATTTAATGGGCTGCCTCTAGTAATAGTTTCCTCCTTCCTGGAGGCCTTTAGAGAAAATGTGGATGGCCACTTGTAGAAGGGCTCCTTCTTCTGGTAGTTCTGGGACTAGGCCCAAGAGCTTCCTTCCAATTCTGAGATTCTGGGGTTCATCTGGAGAAGTTCAAATGAGGCAACTTTAAGGTCAATAAATTTCTCCTAAAAAAGAGAAATAAACTGACCACACTCCAGATGAAGACGAATTAGAGTTGCCTGAATGCCAAGGAATGAGCTCTAGTGCTCATAGAGAATCATGAGATGAACTTAACTCAGCAAAGTAATGCTGTGTCATTCTAGTGAAAGTACTTGTTGGAAGAAGATGGTAGAAAGAATGATGTCTACTAAGCATCGGACAAATTTGTTTACAAAAGCCCATTTCTGGGCCCCATAACTTAAGAGGAACTTGGAGAAGATTCAGAGAAGACCATAAAGATGATCTGAGGATTAGAAAATGAGACCTAAAAGGAAAAAAATAGGGGCACTGAAAATTATTCAGTTTATGAAACAAACAGCGTAGGCAATTTATTTGTATTCAAGAATATGAAGTTTTATTGTATCTAGAAGTGGCTGATGAGTTCATCATGATTTCCATATGGAACTCAACTGCAGCCTAAAAGATGTAGCTTATATGTACCATCATACTCCAGAGATCTGTGGTTTCGTCGGAGAAGATAGTCCCTCCACTGAAACAGACCACAACCCTTCTATGCCTGAGAAGGTTATCTTTATAAATTCATTCAAAGAACATTTATTAAGCCCCTACTATATAATAGGCACTGGAATTAAAATTCAAAAAAGGAAGACAATTCCTGCCCTAGAGGAAAAGAAACAATCAACACAAGGGGAAGCTAGGTGGTGCAGTGGATAGAACAGTGGGCTTAGAGTAAGGAAGCCTGATCCTGAGTTCAAATCCAGCCTCAGATACTTCCTAGCTGTGCGACTCTGGGCAAATCATTTAACCTTGTTTGCTTCAGTTCTTCATCTGAAGAATGAACCAGAAAATGAACCAGAGAAGGAAACGGCAAAACACTCTAGTATCCCTGCCAAGAAAACCTCCCAAATGGAGTTGTGAAGAGTAGGACATGACTGAAATGAACAAACAGCAGCAGCACATGAACACAAAATAATTTGGGCGGGGGAGAGAGAGAATGTTAGCAATTGGGAGGATCAGGACAGTCTTCCCATGGGAGGTGGCCCTGAAGCTAAGCCTCAAGGGAAGAAGGGGTTCTATGAACAGGTGATTAAAAAGGTGCGATTCGGGCACGCAGGAACAACCAGTACAAAAACAAGCAGGTAGGTGATGACGGAATGTTTCGGACAGGGAAGAGGAAGTAAGCCAGTTTGACTGGAATCAAGAGGACATGAAGGGGAGTTATATGCCATCAGACTACAAAGGCAGACCAATGCCAGATTGTAAAGGCCTTTAAATTCCAAGAAGAGGAGATGATATTTTGTCCTACACAGATGGCTTCTTCATGGTAGAGTGACTTAGACCTGTGCTTTAGGAATCTCAATATGGTAGCTATGTAGAGCATGGATTAGATGGAGGAGAGATTTAAGATTTAAGAGACCAATTAGGAGATCAGCGATGAGGGTCTGAACTAGGAAGGTGGTCACATGATTAGAGAGAGGGGATGGATATAAGGGATGTTATGGAAATAGAACTGACAATACTTGCCATCTGATCAGAGATGGGAGCAAGAGTTGTTGTTCAGTCGTGTCCGACTGGAGGTTTTCTTGACAAGGTACTGGGTGGGCTTGCCATTTCCTTCTCCAGCCCATTTTACAGATGAGGAAACTGAGGCAGGCAGGGTTAAATGACTTGCCCTTAGCCACCCAGCTAGTTTCTGAGGTCATATTTGAACTCGTGAAGATGAGTTGTCCTGGTTCCCAAGCCCAGTGCTCTACCAACTGGGGAGCCACCTAGCTCCCCAGAGCAGGGGTGAGGAAGAGTGAAGAGTCAATGATGACTTTGAGATTGTGGGCCTAGGTGACTGGAAGGATGATAGTGCCCTTAACAGAAACAACAAAGTTCATAAGAGAGGGAAATTTGTAGGTAAAGAACATAAGTGATGTTTTTGGACGTGGTGAGTTTAAGATGTTGACAGGACACAAGTGATTTTTCTGTGACTGAAAAAAATTAATCAACTGGTAGTCCGTTCTCTGTTAATGAACTTCTCTGAACTTACCTAGTGAGGTCCTCAGACAATAGACGTGCAGTTAATTGAGGAGCCTTTCCAATTTGGCAGGATCTGCCAAAGTATGTGCTTAGCTGGCATTGTCTTTGAGGGCTCAGGGTTATCTACACACCAGGAAGAGGTGGCCTTCCCTGACATGAAGACTTTAGTGGAGAGCTATGAAGGCTATGAAGAACTGTTTTCTAACCATGAAATCTTTTTCCATTCTAGCCTGGGAGAACGGGGCTGGTTATATGAAATCTTGCCTTTGTCCAGAATTATTGTCCAAGTGTGGCTTTGGCTGAATGGGAGGCTTTTGGACAAAGGGCCTTCTCCAGATCCCACTTTATGACAAGTTAGAATTAACCCCTCCTCCCCACAACCACCACCACCGCTCAAATACTGGCTTAACCTTGTCAGTAGATTCAAAAGCAGCTGTTGACTGGCGACCTCCTTTGACAAGCCAAATCTTTTCCAGCTGCCTCGACCTTCCTTTTATTTGAGTAAGCAGGGGGCTAAAAATGGCTCATTTTTCTCATTTCCCGTGGTCCTGCCCAGTGAAATGTGCCCGAGACTGTCCAGGCTACTTTGCTGAGCTCCTCTACAAGTCCATGAAGGGAGCTGGGACCGATGAAGAGACTTTAATCCGAATCATTGTAACCAGGGCTGAGGTGAGTAAGAGAGTGGAGACCTTCCTTTGAGGAGGCCATCTGTGGCTTTTAGCACCAGCGTCACCAAGATGTCTACATCAAGCAACAGTTTTATGTTTTAGTTTATTTGTCTGTTTCTATGAAAAAGGCAGTGTGAGGGGTTATACAGAAAAAGTAAATCAGATAGAAGTGCCTGTCTGAGGTGGTGCAATGAATAGTGTTGAACTTGGAATCCGAAAGTCCAGAGCTCAAATCCTGCCATAGACCCTTACTAGCTATGTGACCCTAGGCAAGTCACTTAACCTGTGTCTGCCTTGGTTTCTTCATCTGTAAAATGGGATAATAGCACCTATCTCTCAGGATTATTGTGAGGATAAAAATGAACTAATATTTGTAAAGCACTCTAAGATCATTATCACACATATTGCCCAGGTTCATCATTTCCATGCTTCACGTTATATTTGGTACAAAAATAGGAAATGTGCCTGTGATTTCAGTGGTATAGAATTCCTGGACAAGGAAATTCTCTCTACCAAGGCAAGTTGGTACTTTCTCTGAAATTGATAGGACTTGGGAGTTTCCAAGAGCACAAAGGTAAAGTAATTTGGCCAGGGTCATACAGCCAATATATGTAAGTGGTAGGATTTGAACCCCTGGTTCTGAAGTCTGGCTCCTCCCTCTTCTTCTACATCATCATCGTCATCTTCCTTGTTGTCTCCTCCTCCTCCTCCTCCTCCTCCTC